TTATAAATAGTGATAAAAATATTTGACTCAATTGAGAAACTTGTAAGAACTGAAAGCAAGGAAGGAAGGTACAGGCAAAGGAGTTATTTTGGCCAGTACCTCTCAGAGTCAGAGATGACTTACCAAGAGTTTTAGCAACTTATGCTGTTATCACCTCTGAAAAGCCAGCAAATACTTAGTAGCCAATGGATATACAGAATGTAAATGGAAATGTTTAGGTATGAAAGATCTAAAAGATATTAAGCAAGCAACAATATCTTGTGGCATGCATTCACCATTCATTAGTGAATAGGTAAAGAACTGGGTTTCAAGCACTAGAGCTACTCCACATGATTGGCTTCAATTAGTCTCAGTGGTGATAGAATGTAGTGTGGAGTGGTGGGCTGCATTCCCACCCGGCTCACGGCTAGCTTACCTGAAATAATTACACGGAAACCGTATTCTTTTAAACACTGCTTGGCCCATTAGCTTCAGCCTCTTACTGGCTAACTCTCATATCTTGATTAACCCATTTCTATTAATATGTGTAGTACCACAAGGTAGTGGCTTACCAGGAAGGATCTTGACCTGAGTCCATCTTGGAGAGGAGAGCTATAGCGTCTGCCTCACTTCCCTTCTTCCCAGCATTCCATTCTGTCTACTCCACCCAGCTATGTTCTGACCAATCAGGCAAAGCAGTCTCTTTATTAATTAACCAATGAAAAAACAGATAGATAGAAGATCCACCTACATCATTTCCCCTTTTTCTGTTTAAACAAAAAAGAAAGGCTTTCACACTTTAACATAGTAAAATTACATATAGCAAAACAGTTATAATGCAAGAATTACAGTTACAATATTTAGATCTATTTTATCTTTTATCATAAAAAAGGAAAACTACAACTATCTATATATTCTTCAACTCCATCAAAGACTCCAGAAGGATATAATACTACTTAAGTAAACAAGAAATAAGCAACTTCCAAATGCTATAAATGACAGAGACATCTCAAGGCCTAGACAATCACCCAAAGTTCCTCTGTACTGTTGGGGCATCCATCTTCAGCCTTCAGGCCCATATCCTGCAGACTTTTCCATGAAGCAGGAAATTTCAAAGGCAGTTCAGTCACCTTTTTCTGTGTCCTGCAGAATGTCTCACAGACTCTTTCATGAGTCAGGAACCCTAAAAGACCATCTCATGTAGTGGGAGTAGCGGGCTGTGTTCCTGCCGCCTGGTTCCTGGCTGCCTGGCTAGCTTATGCCCCGAAATAACAACACACAAATTGTATTCTTTTAAACACTGCCTGGCCCGTTAGTTCTAGCCTCTTATTGGCTAATTCTCACATCTTGATTAACCCATTTCTAATAATCTGTGTAGCACCATGAGGTGATTGCTTACCAGGAAAGATTCAGCATGTCTGACCTGGCAGCTAGCTCCATGGTGATCTGACCTCACTTCCCTTCTTCCCAGCATTCTGTTATGTCTACTCCATCTATCTAAATCCTGCCCTATCAAAAAGCCAAGGCAGTTTCTTTATTAACCAGTGAGAGTAACACATAGATAGATCATCATTTCCTCCATCAAAACAGTTTTAAAATTTTCCTGCCTCGGGAACCCTGATTGCTCTTTGGACTGACAAGGGAGGGGAACTTGATTGGGGGAGGGGGAGGGAAAGGGGAGGCGGCTGGGGGGAAGAGACAGAAATCTTAAATAAATAAATAAATAAATAAATAAATAAATAAATAATTTTCCTGCCTCTGAAAATCATCTGTCAGAGACTCTAGACCTTAGCCAAAGTTGCTTATGCCAACATTGCAAGTGAGACTTTGGGTGAATGCCAAGTAGGTGGTTGCCTCTATCTTTTCTTGCAACTTATGGAAGTTGACTGATTGCATTATCTTTTTTCATTTTACATATCAATCCCAGTTTCCACTCCCTCCCCTCCTACCATTTGGTCAAACTTTGCCCCACCACACCTCCTACATTCTCCTCAGAGAGGGTAAGGCACATTGCTTTGGGCAAAGTCCAAGGCCCTCCCTATTATATCTAGGCTGAGCAAGGTAGCCATCCAAAGAGATGAGTTCTCAAAAAGTCAGTACAAGCAGTAGGAAAAATCCTGGAGCCACAGCATACAGAGAAGAATCACACATCAGTTCTATGGTGATGTTTAAAATATTCATCAGTCTGACTACAGGGCAAGGCCAGTTTGAGCAACCTCTTCTTTATTGCTTATGGTCTTAGATGGGATAATCCGTGTGCATTCCTGGGAATTTCTATAGTGCCAGGTTTCTTGCTAGCCCCATAATGGCTCCCTCAATCAAAATATCTCTTTCCTTGCTCTCATCTTTGTCCCTTCTCCATCTTGACCATCCCATTTCCTCAAGTTCTCCTTCCCCCTTCTCCCCTCCTCTTCCCTTATGTTCTCTCTCTCTCTCTCTTTCTCTCTCTCTCTCTCTCTCTCTCTCTCTCTCTTTCTCTCTCTCTCTCTCTCTCTCTCTCTCTCTCTCTCTCTCTCTCACACTCACACACACATACACACCTATGCTTCCAATTTTGTCAGGTGTATCTTTATATGTTTTTTCCAGGAGGATCTGTATATGTTTTTCTTAGGCTTAACCTTGTTGCTTAGCTTCTCTAGGGTCAAGAATTATAAGCTGGTCAACCTTTCTTATACAACTGGCATCCACTTACGAATGAACATATACCATGCTCATCGTTCTGGATATGAGTTTCCTCCCTCAGGAGGTTTTTTTTTTCTAGTTTCATCCATTTGCATGCAAATTTTAAGATGTCATTGTTTTTTACCACTGTGTAGTACTCTTTTGTGTAAATGTATCACTTTCTTATCTCCATTGTTTGGTTGAGGGGCATCTAGGTTGTTTCCAGGTTCTGGCTATTACAAATAATGCTACTATGAACAGTTGAACAAATATCCTTTTACTATGATTGAGCATCCTTTAGGTATATGCCCAAGAGTGGTATTGCTAGATACCTGAAATAGATTGTTTCCCAGTTTTCTGAGAAACTACCATACAGATTTCCAGAGTGGTTGTACAAGTTTGCATTCCCACCAGCAGTAGAGGAGTGTTCCCCTTAATCTCCAGCTTAAGCTATCATTGGTGTTTTTTATCTTAACCATTCTGACTGGTGTAAAATGGTGTCTCAGAGTCATTTTAATTTGTACTTCCTTGATGGCTAAAGATGGTCTCCTTTTCCTTAAGTGTCTTTTGACCATTTGAGATTCTTCTGTTGAGAATTCTCTTTTATAGTGCTATACCCAATTATTTAATTGGATCATTTGGAATTTTGATGTCTAATTTTTTTAGTTCTTTATAAACATTAAAAATCAGTCCTCTAATGTGGAGTTGATGAAGATCTTTTCTCATTCAGTAGGCTGCCTTTTTCTCTTATTGACAGTGTCCTTTGATTTACAGAAGCTTCTCAGTTTCAAGAGGTCATATTGATTTATTGTTGCCCTCAGTATCTGTGCTACTGGTGTTAAATTTAGGAAGCAGTCTCCTGTGCCCACACATTGAAGGCTACTTCCCACTTCCTCTTCGATCAGGTTGACTGTGGTCAGATTTATATTGAGGTCTTGGTACTTGTTCTTATTGTACATAGTTTTGTATTAAATTTAGAAGTGTACTATACTAGCTCACTTTGGGTGTGGTCTCATGCACTATAAATGCAGATGAAAAGCTTGCGTTGCCCTCTTGGCTACTGGATTTGGTCTAGTTCCCAGTGTACACAGAGGATTATGGATAGCTACCCTTTCTCAGAGTTTATCCCCAAATAAATAAACCTTTATTATACTTTATTCCAGGCTAATGTGAAACTCTTTTGTATGCCAACACCTGGAAGTGACCTTCTATGTCAGATTCCTCCTGGGGCCTCCCAAGATGTTAGACATTTTTTTCTCCCAGCAGAAGGTCCCCAGGAAAATTCTAATTTTTGGCATTCATGCTTTCCATACTCTGGTAGTCAAGGAGGGCAGAAGAAGTGTCTCATTAGAATATATTCATGCATGCATGCTGACTAGCTACAAGAAAGCAGATTCCTGGTTGGGCAGAGCTGGAACCAATGGAAAGACAAAAAGAAAAGGACTTCTCCCTAAAATAAAATCAGCTCTAAATTTAATTACAATGTTAATAATTTTGAAGTTATACTATGTGCCTCTGAACCATTTATTTAAAATTAATAATCATAGTATGGTAAATGATTGCTGTTGCCAACATTTGTACGAAGACACACTGAACTGTGATATTTAAAAAATGTGACTCAACACTTACGTTTTTACTGCAAGTTCTTTATCAAGGGGAGAGAGAGAGGAATGGAGATCTTACTTTTCACAGTTATCCAAGTACATTATACATTCAAGTCACTGAGAATCAGGAGTCATTTCACATGTACATATCTGCCTCTTGGTTTTTGCCCTTTACATTCAGAGCTTTGATTGCCCCAGGTGCGTTTGCTTTGGTGTGTACAAGTTATACTTTAACTAATTATTACTCTTTCTGTATCTGCAAGAGCTGAATGATCACCATTTGAGAGACAGCTCTAAATTTGAACAAGATGTCTGGAAAAATGAAGGCAGCATTATTCCTCCTACAGCTGAGTGGCTTCTTTAGATTTGGAAGTGCTGGTAAGGTGCTGGTGTGGCCAATGGAATTTAGCCATTGGCTCAATTTAAGGATAATCCTAGATGAACTTGTGAAGAAGGGTCATGAAGTGACAGTTCTGATACCCTCAGTCTCCCTTTCTTATGAGGTTGGCGACACATCTGCTATTGAGTTTGAGAAATATCCTGCATCTCTATCCATGGCTGAATTGGAGGAAATTTACAAGGACTCACTCAATAAATACATTTATGAGCTGCCAAAGCAATCATTTTGGGGATACTTTTTATTATATCAGGAACTGGCTTGGGAAGATTCAAAATATTTTGAAAGTCTTTGCAAAGATGTAGCTTTTAACAAGGAACTCATGACAAAACTACAAAATTCAAGCTTTGATGTCATAGTAGCAGATCCCTTCGTGCCCTGTGGTGACCTACTGGCTGAGATTCTCAAGATACCTCTGGTGTACAGTCTCCGATTCTTTCCTGGCTCCACATATGAGAAGTACAGTGGAGGACTGCCACTGCCTCCTTCCTATGTGCCTGTTGCTATGTCAGAATTGAGTGATCGAATGACATTCATCGAGAGGGTACAAAATCTGATCTATGTGCTTGCTTTTGACTTTTGGTTCCAAATATTTAATGAGAAGAATTGGAATCAGCTTTACAGTGAAGTCTTGGGTAAGTGCCATGGTCAACTGGGATTGTCGCATTCAAAATGTGCTGTGTCATTCAAGGGGAACTTGAAACAACAGGATAGGCAGCAGGAGGATGTATCTCTCCTAAGTAAAATGGTGGGGCTGTGAAATTATCTGCCAAATTCAAAGGATTATAGAAAAGCTTATGTCCCAATGTCAACCGCAAAGTCTTTTTTATCACTTGCATGGGACTCTTCAGAAAGGCACACACACAAAACAAATCTCCAAGAAATTCTCTAAGAAATAACAGATCAACAAGTCATTTTATTTCATGTTTTAAAACAGTAGTTTGACCTGTGTGGTAGCATCATCATCATCATTATCATTACATTACATTGCTGCCATTACTCTTAATAACATAAGTCTGCACATGTATACTTGTGTCATAGGTGGGGAGCTTATGCTTTGTGTCACATGTAAGGATGTCAGATGTAAACGATTAATTTTTACTTCTACCTTTATTTTTTGATTGTTGTAAACAATTGTGAGACACCTCAAAACTCACTGACCATAAGACAAGGTAGAAGTAGGCTCACATGTTGGGGTCTCCATAACATTCATGATTATTATATAATCAATCATGAATCAAGAACAGCATGAGGACAAGGAACTCAGGTATAATCAAAAAAATCTCTTTGAAGTTAACTTGGGCTATACAATGAGACCCTTTCTCAAAATGAAGTGCTGAAGAAGTATCAAGGTCAACGACATAGTTACATAGTAACCACCGGGGGCTCCATCAGAAAACCTCAAAACACAACAAAACAGCACAAAATTCTCAGTTCATACAAAGAAATGCACATCAAGGTTCAGGCAGGACAAACTAGATGGACAGTGGCAGGCAAAAGTGTTTCCCTGGGTATGACAAACAAGACTTATAGGTAATGGAATTGGTTATATTTAAATGGCAGATCTAGATATTTGGTAATCATGAATTTCCAAGGTGTGTTACAGATGTGGAATCTTCTCCCATATCATTTGCACAGTGCCTGACTATATGTGTGTGTATGTGTATACATATATATATATAAGTATGAGAATGATATTACAGACTTATGTCAAACATACACTCAGATAGATAGAAGATAGATAGATAGATAGATAGATAGATAGATAGATAGATAGATAGATAGATAGATGATGGCTAGATAGTCAAATATGTCTTCTATCTCAATCACACTTATAAACAACTCTGGCTACATTATCAAAGTGCTCTATTATGCCCAAAGTCTGAAACTCTGAAATACCACCATGACACCAAATCTTGTGCAAAAGCAAAGAGTCTTTATTGTGAGTTAACTTGGGTCCCAAAGTCTATCTGGTGTGGTGGCAGCAGCAATGACAGCAGCAACAGTAGCAAAAAGAGCAGAGCAGGTGGGGAGGGGATTTTTATAAAGAGGAAAGCTTGGGGAATTTCAAGTCTACAGGTTTGTGATTGGCTGCCCCTTCCAAACTAAGGCCTGGTAAAGTCATGCCTCTAGACTGAAGATTACTACTTCCCTTTTCACAGATTAATTGTTTTTTTTTTTTTTTCCTGCTCGGCAATTGGTTGATTTTTATGACAGGGCAGAGATGGTTCTGATTTCAGGGTCAAACTTTGTTTCTTTCTCTGATCCTTTTTTGTTTTTAGGTTCCAATTTTAGGGCCAGGGTAAGATTTTTTTTTAAGAGGTTCTGATTCTAGGGGCAAAATGTGTTCCTTGGGTTCTGATTTCAGACCTGAGGTGTTTTTCTCCAGTTCTGGGTTCATGGATAAAGTGCTTGTTTCTTTTGCTGACTCAGGTTTCAAATCCAGGGTGTGCTTCTTTTGCTGGCTCTGGGCTCAGAGCTGGGGTGCTCATGGATTGTGCTAGCACTGTGGATCACAGACAAACTGGGTCCCGGTTCTATCACTTCCTGAAGACTACCTGGCATAATCATTTTCACCTGACAATTTTGTTACCTGTCCTACCTTGACTCTTCTGATTCCTTTACAGGAAGACCTACAACACTCTCTGAGATGATGGGGAAGGCAGATATATGGCTCATTCGAACCTATTGGGATTTGGAATTTCCCCACCCTGTCTTACCAAACTTTGATTATGTTGGAGGACTCCACTGCAAACCTGCCAAGCCTCTGCCAAAGGTAAACATTGTCCCATTTGTTTGCTGCTGTTGTCTTTGAGTTTTCAGAAAGAGTGAATATATTTTATTTCTTCAGAATGTCTATCAACTCAGAGAGTCATGGCAATTTAGATAAAGAAAGCTGCCAGTAGAAGCGCCTTTATCTGTTCCATCACAAGAGTGTGACTACCATTAGGATTAAATTAATTTAGCAGGATTTTGCTTCATAAAACCTTTTCATATATTTGACTGTAGAAAACACACAAATATTAAGTGCAGAGAGAGTTCCAAAAGACAAGTCCTATACAAAGTGATTTGAGACAAAATAGATGGAGTATGAACAAAGAAAAACTCATGTTCACAAGTCACAATGGCTTTATTTAATTTCTTGATCATTCACAAAAGTGAAAGCAAACTCCAACAAAAACATACATACACATATATTTGCAGTAACAGACACAGTAACATAAATTGACAGCACATAGTAAATTTCTTTCCAGTGAAATTAACATCTGTTAGAAAGAACACAAATGAAAAGAGAGTGGACAGTCTGAACCAAATTAGAAATAGATATGTGGTCCATGAATTCTGCTCCTGAGAATGTATATAAAAGAACTGAATGAAAAACCTTCACAAGATCATAATGCGAGGATGACCATAGCGGTACTATTCCTGAAGGGAAGGGTGCATGGTGGCTTGAATAAGAATGATGCAATAGGGTCATATACTTGAATGTTTGGTTCCCAATGGGTGAACTGTTTAGGAAGGATTAGGAGGTGTGACTTAGTTGAAGAATTGTGTCACTGGAGGTAGACTTTGAGATTTCAAAGACCTAAAACATGCATGGCTCTTTCTATCTGTCAGTTATTTACGCTTCAAGATTAGTTCTGGGTTACAATTCCAGTGCTCTGCCTGCCTGCCATGGTGCTCCCCACCGTGATGCTCATAAACTAACCATCTGTAACTTTAAGCAAGTCCCCAATTAAATGTTTTCTTTTAGAAACTGGCTTAATCCTCATAACTTTAGAACAGTAACTAAGAAAGGGGAAAGTAACCTAGATATGACCAGAATTATTGATCAAAATCATATGCTAGTTGAATTTTATAAACAGGAAAAAGAATCACTAAAATGTAAAATCTTAGGGTATAGGAAACATGGTATGACCTTAATGACAGTATACTAAGTAAACTAGCCAATGAACAAGACATAAATAAAATAAGAAAACTTTATGCAAACTCCCTTGACTAATAAAATAATAGAAAAAAAAGCAGATGTTTGGTGACTAAGGGACTAGGTGGGGAGAAAGAGAATTTTGAAGTTAATATTAACAAATCTTGCTTTTCAATATGAAAATGTTTCAGAGCTGTTTGTGTGAATGTCAGTATATATAACACAAAGAGCTGTAACCTTACACTTAACTAAAACTGTAAATCTTATGTGTAGATGTGAATAGTTCTGAAACACCCACCACTGTGATCATTTCTAATGCTGCTCAGTTTCTTCCTGTGCATGTTGGTGTCAGTTTTTATGCAGGTTGTTTAGTGTTGCTGCTGTTTGTGATGGGCTGATATTTCATCAACAGGAAATAGAAGACTTTGTCCAGTCTTCCAGAGAACATGGTGTGGTAGTGTTTTCTCTGGGGTCCATGGTGGGTACCCTAACAGAAGAAAGAGCCAATATGATTGCAGCAGGCCTTGCCCAGATTCCACAGAAGGTAAGAAACAGTGCCTCATGTGGCATCCTCACTGAGATGGTCACAGCCTGTTCAAGTGTTGACTGCAGAAACCTCGTGTGAAATTGAAGCTGTCACGATAGCTCTAGCTCATCCCTGAGGTCACTTGTGACACAAAAATACAGGGGGGGGGGGGGAATGCCAAATATTGGTTGGTGGTTTTGAATAATAACCTTGTTATTAACATTGTGCTTAAAAAGAAAAACACTAAACAAATGTTGGCAAACTTGATGGTTGGAAGGTATTATATGCACAAAACTGTGGCTTGTTACTTCCTTTATTTTCCTGGAGGATATATGAAGAGTATGCATACACTAAAGTATAACTATACAACATTTAAATTATAACCAGTAAGTGCACTGGCCCTGTAACAACAAGGAAGCACTCAAAATTTGCAGTTGTAGGACTGGAGAAGTGCCTCATCCTTGAAGAACAAGCATTGCTCTCCCAGAGGACATGAACTTATTTTGAGATGCCATATTTATCAGCCCCCAACTGCCTATAACTGTATCTCCTTGAGATTCAATGCCCTTATACAGCCTGTCATGACAGCCACACATATTTCCATGCATATGTACATACACACTTTCGTAGGGCTTTTATTGCTATGAGGAGACACCATGACCACAGCAATACTTATAGTTATATATAATATAAAATTTCAAATATTTAGTTGGGGCTTCCTTGCCATTTCAGAGGTTTAGTTCATTATCCTCATGGCTAGGGGCATGCAGGAAGACATGGTGCTGAAAAAGAAGCAGATTTCTACATTTTTATCCACAGGGAGCAGAAGGAGACTGTGGGACACTTTGGGTAAAGGTTGAACATATGAGTACACTAAGCCTTCCTCCACAGTGACACAATTCCTCCAACAAGGCTACGATTCCTCTAACAAGACCACACCTCCAAATAGTGCTACTCCCAATAGGCCAAACATTGAAACATATGAATCCATGGGGACCATACCTTTTTAAACCATGACATATACACACTCATGCATAGAGACACACTAGCTTACACATAAATTTAAAAAAAATCCATATTTTTAAAATGACATTTGTGTTAATCTGGTTTATTTATCTTTTATCTCATTTTATTTTTATTAAATGCTTATTTTTTTTCTAAAGAGACAGAAAGGGTGTGATGGATGAAAGGCAAAGAGCTGGGGAGGGAAAAATATAATCAGAACTTATTGCTTGAAATAAGTCACCCTAATAAAACAAATTAGAAAAAGAAGTATAAATTTTAAAGGGGTTTTTATAGTAGTGAAATATTCCTTTGTAATCTTAACCAAATGTAACCAAATACAAATTAAACTGGGCTTATGTGTGGTAATGTTTTCCTTACTATTCAAAAGAATAGGTAGGATAGGATTTACCAACCCCAATTCCACCTGGGGGACTGAAACTTTTAATGCTGAAATAGGGGGTAGCTGGGGACTTGCTCTAGAGTGATCACATGCTTAGATCAATGTCATGCTATAAGGACCTATTCTAAAATATACCTATGATAAAAGTGATTAAAAGTGAACTAACACAAATATCATTGACAAAGATTTATATTGAATTTGGAATGTAAAACTGCTATAAATATATATTGGAAAAAAGTTAAGGTATATATTAGTACCATTGGTAGACTGTTGAATTGGAAATGACAATCATACATTCCTTTTTTTTCTTTTTTCTTCTTTCTTTCTTTTATTCTTTATTATTATTTTTTAAGAACACAAACTGTCTTCTTTATTTTACATACCAGTCCCAGTTCCCACTCCCATTTCTTCCACTTTCTCCCCACCACCCCACCACCCACTCCTCGAAAACAGTAAGGCGCATTGCTTTGGTAAAGGTTCAAAGCCCTGCCTCGTATATCTAGGCTGAACAAGATATCCACCCAAAGAGAGTGGGTTCCCAAAAAGAAATTACAAGCAGTAGGGGTAAATCCTGGTGTCTACTGCCAGTGACCCCCTCAGTCTTCCCCAGCCATGCAACTATTACCCACATTCAGAGGGTCTAGTTTTGGCTAGAGTTGGTGAGTTCCCATTAGCTAGGTAAACTGTTTCTATGTGTGTCCCCTTCATGGACTTGACCCCTTTGCTCATATTCTCATTCCTCCCTCTCTTCAACTCAACTGGACATTGGGAGCTCAGACCAGTGCTCCACTGTGGGTCTTTGCCTCTGTTTCCATCAGTTGCTGGATGAAGGATCAATGGTGACATTTAAGATATTCATCAGTCCGACTACAGGGCATGGGTAGTTTGAGCACCCTCTTCTCCATTGCTTCTGATCTTAGCTGTGATCATCCTTGTGGATTTCTGGGAACTTCTATAGTGCCAGGTTTCTTGCTAGCTCCATAATGGCTCCCTCAATCAAAATATCTCTTTCCTTGGTCTCATCTCTGTCCTTCCTCCATCTCAACTATTCTGTTCCCTCAATTTTCCTCCCCCCTCCAACTCTCCCTTCATCTTCCTTTTCTTCTCTCCCTTCTTCTGCAACCCCAATTCTCCAAATTTAGAAAGGCTACCTTCTCTATTTCTTTTTTCCAGGTAGATCGATATAAATGTTTTTCTTAGGGTTCACCTTGTTACATAGCTTCTCTAGGGTCATGGACTATAGCCTAGTTAACCTTTGCTTTACAGCTAGCATCCACTTATGAGTAAGCATATACCATGTTCATTTTTTCTGGGTATAGGTTACCTTACTCGGGATAGTATTTCTAGTTCCATCCATTTGCATACAATTTTTTTAGTGCACATTAGTGTTTGGCCTGCATGAGTGTTTGTGAGAGGGTTTCAGATCCTCTGGAACTGGAGCTACAGAGAGACATCCCTAAGCTTCCATCTGGGTGCTGGCAAATGAACATGGGTATTCTGAAAGACATTCTGTAAGTCCTGCTTGACATTACTAGAGAAACAAACTGGTATATAATAGTAACTTTGGTAGATTGTTGAACTAGAATTACATTCACACATTTCTTAACTCTTTCTGATTCACAATACTGGACCTAAATTTGCCTAAGTTGTTGTTGATTAAATATTAAGGTGCCATGCTGAATTTTGGATAAGCATGAGACCAAATGAAGGACATTAAAGAGAACTTGCATCCTTGCTGTAGTAGTTCTTCATGGTTCCCACCATCCATCTTCACTGCCTGGCCCTTAGGGACTGGTGTTTATCTGCATAGATTCTTAATCTCTCCAGAAATCTAGCAGGAGGAACTTGACATTTGACCAAAGTAATAAGAGGCTAGCTTCATCTTAACAGGTTCTTTGGCGATTTGAAGGCAAGAAGCCAGACACCTTGGGCTCCAACACTCGGCTGTACAAATGGATCCCCCAGAATGATCTTCTCGGTAAGCATCAGGAGATGCCTGAGACATAGGAATGGCTGCTCAGGAGAGGGGATGTCAACACTAATGTATTTTTGACAAATGTGAACTAGTCCTGGAAAAATAAAGAACTTATGTGAATATGATGTCCAGTAACAGTGAAGATAGGAGAATCCATTATTATCTCTTCTGTAGTTTTCATTCAGATAAACTTAAATCACTTCTTCATGTTTGTGTGTTCACCTCCTATTTCTAAACCTTTCCATCTGCCCTTTCCTCTAGGGTAGCACAATTTCAAATGCCAGTGAAGATGGTATTCTTTCATTACTGACCCTTAATTTACTAGCTCCCCCAAAAGTCCACATTATGAGGCTGTCCTATATTGGATGAAGTATTGCTTGTCCTAAGCCTCATCCCATGAGGATTAGCAAAGCCCCTTACCACATGGAAGGAACCTATCATGAGCAGTGGCTTCACTGTTCCTTTAGGAGAACATTCTGTCCTGAACCACTGCCTGTGATTGCACTTGCTGCTTACTCCACTTGAAAGGAGTTCTCCCTTTCTGTTCACTGCAAAAATCATTCTACTTCCACACCTCACTACCTCTATGTGGCCTTCAATAATCATCCATGGACTTGTGATGCTCCATACTATAAGACATGAGAGGACTTCAATTCCATTCCATGGGTATGATGGTGTTGTCTAGAGAATATTTGCCCTTTCTGTGCCTTTTTCCTGTGGCTTTCATTTTCTGTCTCAGACTTATATTTAATATTTCCCCTTAATTTCTCCCCTTGCTAGGTCATCCTAAAACCAGAGCTTTTATTACTCATGGTGGCACCAATGGCATCTATGAGGCGATCTACCATGGGATCCCTGTGGTGGGCATTCCTTTGTTTGGAGACCAATTTGATAATGTTGTTCACATGAAGACCAAAGGAGCAGGGGTTCAAGTGAACTTTCTCACAATGTCCAGCACAGATTTGCTCCATGCTGTGAAGACAGTCATTAACGACCCTTCGTGAGTACAGTGATTTTGTTTAAGTTGGTACTAGTTTAGATAAATTGTATCCAATGGGACAATAGAAGTTTGAAACAACAACAGCAATAGAAATATCATTCAAGCATTATCCAATGAGGTTTACTGTAAAACAAGACTATAAACTATCCCTATAGACATACTATACGTGAAGTTAGTTTAGAAAAATTTGATGATGGAAATAATTTATAAGCAAGTTATCAAAGACCTGCATCCCAGCCCTGAAGTCATCTTGTGCAAGGTATACTCCATTCTCACCAGTTGCCATTTTAACCACTAATAGTATTTTTATTAAACTTACAAAGAATATTGATACAATTTCTTGTCAAGAGCATCAATATAATCATCATCAGACTGTATGAACCACCCCTCTTACAGTGGTAGAAAAGGCTTGTCAATATTTGCTCTGCTGGAAAGATTTCCTTAGTAAAATGATTCCCTATTTTAGTTTTGGAAAGAATTTCACAGAAAATAGAAACTTCCAGGCAAACATTCAAACATGTCCCAGTCAAAACCACACTGTACCTAGTGCTTCTCTATGGCGTTTATTGAGTCTCATGTTGCTTTCCCTGAAACTTTCATAGGCTTCAAGAAAGTAAACTAATCGGTTTTTTATATCGATGTCTTTAGCTATAAGGAGAATGCCATGCGGCTATCAAGAATCCACCACGACCAGCCAGTAAAGCCCCTGGACAGAGCCGTCTTCTGGATTGAGTATGTCATGCGCCACAAGGGAGCCAAGCACCTTCGTGTGGCAGCGCATGACCTCACCTGGTACCAGTACCACTCTCTGGATGTGCTTGGATTCCTGCTTGCCTGTGTGCTGACTGTGATGTTCGTCATCACAAAGTGTTGCCTCTTTTGCTGCCAGAGATTTACTAAATCTGGAAAGAAGAAGAAAAGGGAGTAGCTGAAGTGAGGAGGATTGACACATAGACCTCCTCCAGTGCATCACAGCAGGGGAGGATTTCCATCATATCCCTTAGCCACAACTGACCCGGACACTGTCACTCTTATTTCAGCCTCTTGAAGTAGACTTGAGCTTTCAAAAATTCCATTTTTTCTCACTTATAGAGCACATGGATGACAAGACCACAGTTTTTTAAGTCTCAACAACACCTAACTCAAATTATAATTTAAATCTGAAATGTCCCCCACAAACTCACAGTTTGTTTGGTAGATTTTGTATTGTTTATTAATTTATAATTTCTTACCTTGATTCAGTAAAATATTAAATTCATCTCTCATGATCACATTCCTACTTCCCACTGGTTCTCCTCTAATATGTCCCAATTCCAATTATGTCCTCTTTATTTTTAATAACCCTGTAAGTCCAATTAGGACTGACAATAAGACATAGATTTCCTTTATGATGTAAAAGCTCCTATGATTAGCTTCCGACATTTTAGTAGCAATACAAACAAGCTGTTGCTAGGAATCAACGAAATAGGAAGAGAGCTGAAACTGGCCAAGCAAGTTCCCCATATATTTGCAAACAGATTATGCCAAAATCTCCAAGCAACAGGCCTGAGCTATAAAGGCAGCACTGGCCAAAAGAAATCATTGCTTACAAGGGTTAAAAGAACACTGAATGTTCACAAGAAAAAAATTATAGGACAACAGAAGCAGACTCTGGCTCCTGCCAATACTCCTGATCTGAAACCAAAGTTCACATTAGATAAGGTCAAGCCAGTTCAGGGTGGTGTGGTCATTCCAAGGTTCACTTTAAACACTCTTTCTGCCTTGGTTATCTCTTAATTCAAGTTTCTGCATAGCTAGAATTTAAAGACATATTGCCCCATTAGTTTCCATACGGTAGTTTTAAATTTTATATATTTTATAGAATTTGCTTTATAATGGAATCCTAATATCTCTCCAAGCCTACTTGCTTGGGATTCCATTTTAGATTCCTATTTTTAAAACTTATTTGTTGACATATGCTGTATGAGAGTTTTCTCAGCATGTATAAGAGTGTACCACATGCATGGTTGGTGTATTAAAAAGCTAGAAGATGGCATATTTAATTCTGTGTTACAGATGTCTGTGAGACATGTGGGAGCTGGGAATCTAACTGGGTTAACTGAGTCCTCTGAAAAAGCAACCGTCCCTCTTAACTGCTGCGCCAATACTTCAGCTCCAGTGTTTGATGAGAAAATTACGTTTCTTCATCATTTTTATTCTTTATTTTCTTTTATCCTTTTCTTCCATTTGTTCTCCTTGTGAATGATTATTTGTATTCTTGAGACACACTCTCATTATGCAGCTCCAGGCATTCTCAAATCCTCCAGGTAGCCCAGGTTAGCCTTGAACTCATAGAGATCCTCTTGCATCTGCCGCTTGAATGCTGGGATTAAAGTTGTATGCCTTCTTGCCTGGGTAACCTAAACTTCTTTTTATTTTTATTTTCTAATTACTTTATGTAGTCAGACACTGGTGGCACAACCCTTTAGTCCCAGCACTCTGGAGGCAGATACAAGGCAATCTCTGTGAGCTCAAGACCAGCTAGTAGTACAGAATGAATTCCATAAGAGCCAAGGCTATACACACACATACACACACACACACACACACACACACACACCATCTCAAAAGCCCAAAAAGAAAAAAATTATTTCATGTAAGAAATATAAATGAAAAAAAAAGAAAAAGAAAAAGAAAAAAAACATGGTGGTGCATGCTTTTAACCCCAGCACTCCAGAGCCAAAGGCAGATGGATCTCTGACTTCCAATCCAGCTTAGTCTACAGAGAGAGAGTTCTAGGACAGCCAAGGCTACATGAGCAACTCTCTCTCAAAAATAGATAGATGATAGATAGATAGATAGATAGATAGATAGATAGATAGGTAGGTAGATAGATAGATAGATAGATAGATAGATAGATAGATAGATAGATAGATAGAGATAGATAGACAGATATACAGACAGATAGATAATTTGTTTTAACATATAAACATATATGAACATATATGTATGTATTTATGTCTAGAATTCCTATTCTTGTTACAATGTTGAGAAATAAGCATTTCCTATTTGTTTCTTGATCTAGGTTTGCTTTTTATTTTTATGAAAAACAAAACTATTGTATCAATGTATTATGTTCTTTGACACAGGTAATATCTAGTTTTTATGCACACATAATCATATTAAATCATTTATTAGCATTAAATTGTCCTTAATTTTGGTGTTTATATTTATTACTTTTATGCTTTGTTATATTTTGTGTGTGAGTGCTAAAGTTATAGTGTAAGTAACATGGAAATTTTTAAGAAACTTTGCCTCATCAGAATCTGGTTAAGGCACTGGGTTCAAGAACTTTGCAGCATCAAAAGTTAGCTGGAAACAGGACCCTTTGCAAAAGTGCAAACCAACTGTCCCTAGCAGCTAGCCCCCTATTGACACCCAGCTTTGTGGTCTAGAGGAGAGTAGTAAATAACTGCTTGGGAGTAGGGCGGGGGCCATGCACAGTAGCAGAAGTAGCTGCTAAAAGGAGGTAGAAGGTATACCAAAGGTGTCTATACCCTATACTCAGTAAAACTAACCACCTTGACCCTAAGGAAACCTGGCTTGTGTTTTTTGCCTATATATGTCAACCCCAAATGAGAAGCGGGAGCTCTCCCCATTGCGCTGTGTCATGAGTGGAGGCTTTGAGCTCCCAGCTTGCTGGTTTGAATTTTGCCTGCTGAATAAAACTTGCTTTTGCATTCTGGACTTGACTGAATTCCAATGGTGTCTCTCTGGGGGTCTCAACTTGGGCACAACAATAGAGCATATAAAAATATACAATTTTATTGATATTTGACAAGGATCACAAAACTATTCATGGCAAACTTGCAGGATTTGTTTATATTTCTTTGTTTTACTTTTTCTTTTTTCTTATCAAAGCTCTTTAGAAAACTATTGGCATGAAAAATTAAAACTGGACCTCTAATTCTTTTTTGGTATTTTTTATTTTTATTTTAAAAGGTTTTCTTACATAGCAACCACCATTCCCCCTTCCCCTATTCCCACTCCTCCCATACCTTCCCCTGACCAAACCCCCAATCTGCTCCTCAGACAGGGTAAGGCTTCCCATGGGGAGTCAGCAATGTCTTGCTTATCAAGTTGAGGCAGGACCAAGCCTCTTCCCCCTGCATCAGGACTGAGCAAAGTATCCCTCCATAGGAAATGGGCTCCAAAAAGCTAGTTCATGCACTAAGGATCAATTCTGGTCCCATTGCAGTGGGCACACAGACTGCCCAAGCCAGAGAACTGTCACCCACATTCAGGGGCCTCTCCCTCTTAAATGATCATATACAAATGAATATATACAAATGATTATTTAAAGTGCTTTAAGAAATAAAGCTAAGAATTATAAATATGTGTGAAAATATATTTGTTACTGAATTTGAAATTTGTTTTTCTCTTGACCACAAATACAGAAGCAGCAAGGGTAAATTTCATTACTTGGAATCATAAAAATAAAAACTTCTCTCATCAAAAAAAATCATAATATACTGAAAAGACAAATCACAAACCTGACCCAAAAAAAATTGCAAACCTGGAGAATGCATTTAAAAGTCATATACCAAAAGAAAAAAAAAGAAGAGGAGAAGAGGAAGAAGAAGAAAAAGAAGGAGGAGGAGGAGAAGAAAGAGGATGAGGATGAGGAGAAAAAGAAGAAGGAGAACAAGGAGGAGGAGGAGGGGAGGGAAGGGAAGAGAAAAAGGAAGGAAGGAAGGAAGGAAGGAAGGAAGGAAGGAAGGAAGGAAGGGAAAAAGAGAACAAAGGGAAAAAAGATTTAAACATTGTGTAAAGAAAGGTGGACGCTAAAACACATGACCTGACTCCATATAAAATATGGAGAGATGATCCAAGGATCTGAATAGACATTTTCCATGAAATATGTTCAGCATCATTATGTGTAACGCCATTCAGACTCAGCCCAAAAAACAACGCAATAGGGCTTCACCTTCTTACCTGATTATAATCAAGAAAGATATAATAACAGGCAAGGAGAGATCAGGAGACAGCTGTACTGTGTTGTGAATAGCAACTCAAGCAGCTCCTTGGAAACAGTCTGCCACTTCCGCAGACTTTAAAGATCCGGAGCATTGTTCTTGACTTCTCAGCAGTCCTAGTTGTCCACTATGTTCAGCGAGTCCGGTTTTATCCCATGCTTTTTCAGACCAAGACCAGCTGGCCTTGGTGAGTTCCCGATAGAACATCCCCATTGTCTCAGTGTGTGGGTGCACCCCTCGCGGTCCTGAGTTCCTTGCTCGTGCTCTGTCTCCTGCTCCTGATTTGGTCCTTGGGGTTTCAGTCCGGTGCTCCAATGTGGGTCTCCGTCTCTGTCTCCTTTCATCGCCTGATGAAGGTTAATATTCAGGAGGATGACTATACTGGGCACTGGGCTTTCATCCTACTGCACGTATTGGCTTTGTGGGAGCCTAGGCTATTTGGATGTTCACCTTACTAGACCTGGAAGGAAGTGGGAGGTCCTTGGACTCCCCACAGGGCAGGGAACCCCGACTGCTCTTCGGGCTGACAAGAGGGAGAGTTGATTGGGGGAGGGGAGGGAAATGGGAGGCGTTGGCGGGGAGGGGACAGAAATCTTTAATTATTATTATTATTATTATTAATAATAATAATAATAATAAAAGATCCTGAGCATTGGGCTCGAGTAGTTACATATCAAAGAGAAGTAAAAACAAAACCACACAAACCCTTTATAGGCAACCAGGATGGCAACATAGCAGCAGGCAGGGTGGATCCCCATTTTGAGGTCCCCGCCCCAGCTTGTTAAACTCCCGCGAGGGCCTGCAAAAAGTTTCCGCCCTAGCTTCCTACCTGCCCAGCTCCCGGCTCCCTGCTGCACCCACCTTCATGCTCACCCCAGGACCGGCCACGAGTTCCATCGGGTGTCCCATTCTTCCCTGGCAACTCAGGAGCAACTCTGTCATCTTGCCCACTTCGGGGCTCCAAGAGAAAACAGGTCAGGATAAACTCGGTTCTGCACAGGAGCATGAACGATTTCCCCTATTCTTCTCCCAGCTCTCTAAGTCCTCTTGCCTTTGATCTCTGAGGCAGAGCTCATAGTTCACCAGAGTTCATGATTTGTTTGTGCTGTGCTTAGCACACGCCTGGAGATTAAGCAGAGAGGCACTCAATCTTTTTCTAATGATATCTTGCAAACAAGGGGTTATGTTCGTGGTGATGTCTGTAAAAGATTCGTGGACTTAGAAAGGGGTTCAGATCAAAATGTAGAAGAGGAAAAAAAGGATGGGACATGAATATTAGTAAACAGTATTGATAAGTAGTCAAAAGTGGGAATAAAGCTAACATCTATCAAATTAGAAATGAGGAAGTGTGGATTTACTGTTACAAAGTAGATTTAACATCACATAACAGAACCTTCTCTACCTCCTATAACACGACAGCACTTTAAAGCCTTACAAGCATCAAAGCCAACAAAGCACCAGGAATTTTATATCAGCTATGTGAAAACCTCAGAATAAGGAAACAAGGATATTACATGATTAAGGGGTCACAGTCTGTGTCTCAACAAGGCAGTTACACATACACACACACACACACACACACACACACACACACACACTTAAATATGCCAAACAAAGGAGTCAAATTAATTGTGAAATCTAGAAAAAGCAGATGTATTCATTGTGATCACTATAGGAGCATAACCAACTCCATCTTTGAGATTCAGACAAGACATAAACATAGCTAAAGAAGTCCAGCTGTTATGGGGTCTCTTGCCCAATATTACCTTAGTTCTTAGGCTCCACAAAAGCCTTAGTTTACCTAGCATGAAAATGGCTTTTGAAGACAGATTCTTCCTGGGTGCCCCCAAGACATCAGACATTTCTTCTCCCAACAGAGCTCACCAGAAAAATTTTTAATTTGGGCATTCTTTCTTTCCATATTCTGATAGTCACAGAGGGAAGCAGAAGTGTCTCAGATTATATTTATTCCTGCCAGCATGACTAGTTACAAGAAAACAGATTCCTGGTTGGCCAGAGCTGGAACCAATGGAAAAGCTTAAAGAACAGTATTTCTATGTAGGATAAAATCATCTCCAATTTTAAATACAGTGTTTATAATTATATTGTATAATGTATATTCTGAGGTTATGCTGTAGACCACTGAACCATTTATTTAAAATCAATAAATAATGTGATAAATGATTTCTGTTGCCAACATTCATATGGAGACACCCTGACCTGTGATATTTAAAACACATAACTCAACAAATATTGCTTTATTGCAAATTCTAATCGAGGATGCTACACTAGAGGGAGAAAGAGGAGAGGGGAGATCTTACTTTCCTCTGTTCTCCAAGTACATTATACATTCAAGGTCACTGATATTCAGGAGTCATGTCAAATCTTCACATCTGCCTCCTGGACTTTGCCCTTGTCATCTTGAGACTGTGACTATCTCATGTGTATTAGCTCTAGTAATACTTTAACTAATTATTACTCTTTCTATATATATAAGAGCTATACAATCATCATTTGAGGAGCAATGCTGAGCCTAACCAAGATGTCTGTGAAAATGACAGCAGCCCTGCTCCTGCTACAGCTTAGTGGCTTCTTTGGATCTGGGAGTGCGGGGAAGGTGCTGGTGTGGCCAATGGAATTTAGCCATTGGCTCAACTTAAGGACAATCCTAAATGAACTTGTGAAGAAGGGCCATGAAGTGACAGTTCTGATACCCTCAGCCTCCTTTTCTTATGAAGTTGGAGACACATCTGCTATTGAATTTGAGAAATACCCTTCATCCACTTCCCTGGATGATGCGGCAGCACTTTACATGGAATCAATCAGGAAAAGTGTTTATGAGCTGCCAAAGCAATCATTTTGGGGATTCTTTGTATTGTTGCAAGAAGTGGTTTGGGAAGATTCAAATTTTTTTGAAAGTCTCTGCAAAGATGTAGCTTTTAACAAGGAACTCATGGCAAAACTACAAAATTCAAGCTTTGATGTCATAGTAGCAGATCCCTTCGTGCCCTGTGGTGAACTGCTGGCTGAGATTCTCAAGATACCTCTGGTGTACAGTCTCCGATTCTTCCCTGGCTCCACACTTGAGAAGTACAGTGGAGGACTGCCACTGCCTCCTTCCTATGTGCCTGCTGCTATGTCAGAATTGAGTGATCGAATGACATTCATCGAGAGGGTACAAAATCTGATCTATGTGCTTGCTTTTGACTTTTGGTTCCAAAATTTTAACGAGAAGAGGTGGGATCAGTTTTACAGTGAAGTCTTGGGTAAGTGCCATGGTCAACTGGGATTGTTGCATTCAAAATTTGCTGTGTCATTGAAGGGGAACTTGAAGCAACAGGATTGACAACAGACATATTTCTCTTTCCTAAGTAAAATGTTGAAAAATCTATGAAATTTTCTGCCAAAATCAAAGCATTGTAAAAAACCTTAGGACCCAATGTCAACTGCAGAGCCTTGTCTATGACTTGCAAGGGACTCTTCAGAAAAGCACACACACAGAAAGCAAATCTTTGAGAATTTCTCTAAAAAGTAACAGATCGACAAGTTTTTTAACTTGTGTTTTTTTTCTTCTTCTTTTTACTCTTATTTTTCTTATTTTTTTAATTGATCTATGTATTCTTCTCTGCTCACCTCCCCTACTACTCTCTTCCATGATTCCCATGCTCCCAATTGACTCAGAATATCTTGTCTTCTTCTCCTTCCCATGTA